CTCGAAAAATTATATTATCACATGAATTATTCTAGCTTCTACTAAATACTTACCTATAAACTAACATTCCAAAAATGAGAAACCTGGCTCTCACAATTCACCATTTATGTATTTAATTGTTCAATCATAGCACATATAATTATATACATAGCACATATATATAAGTATAGGGTTGTTTATACACTATTACATTATCATACAGATTAGCTTTACCACTCTAGAAAAAAAATCTCCTATGCTTCACCTATTCTATTCAGCTCACTATCCCTCTCCTAGAACTCCTAGAAAAACACTAATTTTTTTACTATTTCTATAGTTTTGCCATTTACAAAATGTCACAGTTTAATAGTAAAGTATGTAGCTTCTTCAGATTGACTTCAATATAATTTATTCATGTCTGTTTGTGGCCTATTTTCTCTTTCTATTGTTGAATCATATTCAATGGTAAGGATGTGAGAGGAGGTGCCAGCTGGGCTTCCTGGGCCGAGTAGGGGCTCAGAAAGCTGTGAAATGCACTCATTTCCCGCATCAGGACTTACTTTGGTCCTGGATGAATAATATTGAAGATATATGCTTAAAATATTCTTAACACCAGGAGTTGTGCATGTGTTTTCCTCCCCAAGAAAGCTGTAACAGTGAAAATTTTGCGGTAAGTTTCCTTGTATCTTCTCTCCCTCTCTCCTTTCCCCCTCCCCCAAAACTAAAGTAAAAGGAATGTTAACTGCCCATTTTTCTGTGACCAGCGGACCTTATCTATACTTCCAATTCCAATTCCTTGTAAAAATAGTTTGTAAAGTCCTGTAAGATGTTATCTCCTTTGCCATGCCCTGCAAGGTCATAAAGTAGATAAAACCTAAGTTATAATTCCAGTTTTCTCAAAATCTAAGACATGTCACAAAATAATTTACTGCTTTTTGTTTCTCACTCCTGTAACAAGCTTCCCACCTCACGCATCTCCTGCCTTAGTGAGTTTAAAAGGCAATCACCCAAACCAACACTGGCTACCCATTCGGGACCCCTTTCACCCTGTGGAAGCTTTGTACTTTCACTCTGCTCAATAAAGCTTTACAGCTTTTTCTTGCCCTTGGTCCATGTCTCTATCACTCACCATGGTCAGCTTCTACACCAATTCTTTGGTGTGGCTAGGCAAGAACCTTAGGCGTTACATCTTGGCGAGCCAGACAGGAGACTCCAGGAAAGGCATCTAAATCATCAGGCAGTGAGTACGATTGAACCTCTTTCGCTTGCTATTCTGTCCTGTACTTCCTTAGAATTAGGAGGCTAAATACAGGGCACCTGTCAGCCACTTAAAGGTGAATAGCACGGCCACCTGACTAAAGACACAGGTGTCAGGCTGTCTTGGAAAGGGCTCTCTAACCACCCCCAACCCCGTGGGGTCAGGAGCGTTGGTTTGTCCGGAACCAGTTCTAACTCTTTTGCTTTCCTTGGTGGTCCCGAAGTACACCTGGGAGTGCTCCGTAGAAGTCTTGTTCTCCCAGATATCCTGGTTGAGACTATGGCCCCACTAAAGGCTCCCCCTGCATGGTTACTGAGCATGAGATAGCCACATCTTGTGACTCCTGCTTCCTGGGTCCTATTAAACCTCTTTCCTCACCTCGTAAGCAAAGTTATTCCAGCTAGGCAGGATCAAGATTCCCTGTTTAGAAGTCTTAAATTCTTGGGGTGGTGCCCAGAAGATCCCTGTTCATGGTGCCCTCCAAGGTTTAGGCAGGTGTCACCATTTGATGGCTCTTTTGAAGGGCCAGTTCCCCACCATAGTGTATGGTCCCCCACATCAGGACAATTTAAAGACAGGTCTGTAATTTTCATGTGGATAGTAGAAGCCTTAGGGCATTTCCTCCATTGCTCCCCAAATAAACCTTCCCCTTCCTTGGGGCCTCTCAAGTACAATCTGTGGTGCACAGGCACAGGTCTTAGAGCTGTTGTATTGCTGTTTCAACCATTCAATAATTGGTATTGGATGGAAGAAAATATAGTCAGTTGGGACACAGGATACTGGTACCGCTTCAAGACGGGGGGCTTACTCTTTTGATGGCAAGTGGGGACAGAAGGCTGTTCTGTACAGCAGCTGTTCTCTCAGCCCTGACCTAGAGGTCATCCACACCCTCTTTAAGCTTACTAAGCCTCCTGTCGCTAATTCAGAGATTTCTACTTGAAGGACAGTTTTGTGGCCAGGCCCACATAAATTGGGCCTTAGTATGCAAGCATCAGTGGTGCCTCCGACCCAGGCCTTGACACTCTGGAACAGGTAGGATGCATTGGCAGAAGGACCACAGTAAATCAAACAGTCCTTGTGCCCTGTTTAGTGGTCAATGGCTGCACAGCAGGGGAAAAGGGAAGTTTCCATCCCTCAGATAGGCATGGTTAAATCCGGTAGACGGAGAGCTCAGGAAAAGTAGCCATACGCTTTGAGCACAATTGGACCTGACCCTTAGGGGACGCTCTAAGGGAAGATGAGTCCCAGGACTAATCAGGGGTGCGGGCATCCCTGTGTTTAAAATTCCAGATGGGCACATCTTCAAAACTGGACATTTCCTTAAGATGTATCCTGAATAACTAGGACAAATTCAACCTTGAAACCTTAAAAAAGCAACAGCTGATTTTCTTCTGTACCACTGCCTGGCCACAGTATTCCTTACAAAATGGAGAAACTTGGCCTCCTGAGGGAAGTATTAATTATAACATCCTTCTACAACTAGATCTTTTCTGTAAACAGGAAGGTAAATGGAGTGAAGTCCCTTATGTACAGGCTTTCTTTGTCCTTTGTGACAATACTGCCCTGTGTCAAGTCTGCAAGCTTTGCCCAAATGACAGAGGCCCACAATTGCCTCCATACTCAGGGCCTCTTCCCTCAGTCCCACTCTCCTCCCCCACTGACTCTCTTCCATCTGGCCCCCTCAAAGTGTTAAAGGCACACTGGAAAGAAAATGTAAACTCTGCAAGCCAGGCACCCAAACTATGTCCCTTACAAACAGTAGGAAGAGAATTTAGACCCATTTACGTACATGCCACTTTCTCACTCTCAGATTTAAAACAAATAAAGGCAGATTTGGGGAAATTCTCTCATGATCCTGATAACTATATAGATATCCTGCAAAGATTAGGGCAGTCATTTGATCTAACATGGAGAAATATCATGTTACTTCTTGATCAGACCTTAAGTCCTACTGAAAAGGAAGCAGCTTTAACAGGAGCCCAGCAATTTGGGGATCTGTGGTACCTTAGCCAGGTAAATAATTGAAAGGCCCTGGAAGAGAGGGAAAAATTCCCCACAGGGCAACAGGCAGTCCCCACTGTAAACCCTCACTGGGATACTGATGCAGATCATGGAGATTGGAGCCACAGGCATTTCCTAACTTGCATTTTAGAAGGGTTGAGGAAGACTAGGAAAAGACTCCAAACTACTCAATGTTATCCACAATTACACAGGGAAAAGAGGAAAACTCCTCCGCTTTTCTAGAAAGGCTAAGGGAGGCCCTAAGAAAGCACACCTCCCTAACTCCGGATTCCCTGGAAGGCCAACTTATTCTAAAGGATAAATTTATCACCCAAGCAGCAGCCGATATTAGGAGAAAACTCCAAAAGTGTGTCATAGGCCCAGAAAAAAATTTGGAGGCATTATTAAACCTGTCAACCTAGGTGTTCTATAACAGGGACCAAGAGGAACAGGCCGAAAGGGAAAAGCAAGATAAGAAAAAGACTGCAGCCTTAGTGATGGCCCTCAGACAGGCAGACCTTGGTGGCTCAGAGGGAACCAAAAGAGGAGCAGGCCAATTGCCTAGTAGGGCTTGTTATCAGTTATCAGTGTGCTTTGCAAGGACACTTTAAGAAAGATTGTCCAAGCAGAAATAAACTGTCCCCTTGCCCACGTCCAATATGCCAAGGCAATCACTGGAAGACACACTGCCCCAGAGGATGAAGGCCCTCTAGGCCAGAAGCACCCAACCAGATGATTCAGCAACAGGACTGAGGGTGCCCAGGGCAAGCACCAGCTCATGCCATCACCCTCACAGAGTCACGGGTAAGTTTGATCATGGAGGGCCAGGAAGTGGACTTCCTCCTGGATACTGGCACTTACTTCTCAGTTTTAATCTCCTGCCCCAGGTGACTGTCCTCAAAGTCCGTTGCTATCCAAGGAATCTTAGGACAGCCTGTAACCAGGTATTTCTCCTGCCTCCTCAGCTGAAATTAGGAGACTTTGCTCTTTTCACATGCCTTTCTTGTTATGCCCTAAAGTCCCACACCCTTATTAAGGAGGGACATATTAGTCAAAGCTGGGGCTATTATCTACATGAATATGGGGAACAAATTACCCATTTGTTGTCCCCTCCTTGAAGAAGGAATCAGCTCTGAAGTCTGGGCATTGAAAGGACAATTTGGAAGGGCAAAGAATGGCCATCCAAGTTCAAATCAGGCTAAAAGACCCCACCACTTTTCCTTGTCAAAGGCAATATCATTTAAGGTCTGAAGCTCACAACGGATTACAGGATATTGTTAGACATTTAAAAACTCAAGGGTTAGTAAGAAAATGCAGCAGTCCTTGCAACTCCCCAGTCCTAGGAAAACAAAAACCAAATGGTCAGTGGAGACTAGTGCAAGACCTCAGAATCATCAATGAGGCACTAATTCCTTTATATCCTGCTGTCCCCAACCCTTATACACTGCTCTCTCAAATATCAGAGGAAGCAGAATGGTTCACTGTTTGACCTCAAAGATGCCTTCTCCTTCATTCCCCTGCACTCTCCCAGTTCATGTTGCTATTCCGTTAATCAGTTGAGAATCATTATTGAAAATGTCAAAGAAATAAAAGAACAGATAAAAAGTAGGAAAAATGAGCTTAAACACTCAGGACCCTGGAATATGTTTAACCGATGGATACCTTGGCTCCTCCCCTTTCTAGGACCTGTGACAGCCATCCTACTATTACTCGCCTTTGGCCCTTGCATTTTTAACCTCCTTGTCAAATTTGTTCCCTCCAGGATTGAAGCCATCAAGCTACAAATGATCTTACAAATGGAACCTCAAATGAGCTCAACTCACGGCTTCTACCGAGGACCTGTGGTTCAACCCACTGGTCCCTCGATTAGCCTAGAAAGCTCCCCTCTGGAGAACACCAAACTGCAGGCCCCTTCTTCGCCCCTAATCAGCAGGAAGTAGCTGAAACGACTGCCGCACAGTTTCCAACAGTAGTTGGGGTGTCCTGTTTAGAGGCAGGACTGAGAGGAGGTGCCAGCTGGGCTTCCTGGGTCAAGTAGGGACCCCGAAAGCTGTGAAACTCACTCATTTCCTGCATCAGGACTTACTTAGTCCTGGATGAATAATGTTGAAGATATATGCTTAAAATATTCCTAACACCGGGATTTGTGCATGTGTTTTCCTCCCCAAGAAAGCTATAAACAGTGAAAATTTTGCTGTAAGTTTCCTTGTGTGCTCTCCCCCCTCTCCCTTCCCCCTCCCCCGAAACTAAAATAAAAGAAATATTAACTGCCCATTTTCCTGTGACCAGAGGACCTTATCGATGCTCCCAATTTCAATTCCTTGTAAATATACTTTGTAAAGTCCTGTAAGATCCTGTCTTCTTTGCCATGCCACTGCAAGGTCATAAAGTAGATAAAATCTAAGTTGCAAATCCAGTTTTCCTCAAAATCTAAGACTTGTCACAAAATAATTTAAAAACAAAGGCACAAAATGCCTTTGTTCCTTGCTCCTGTGACAAGCTTCCAGCCTCACACATCTCCCACCTTAAAGAGTTTAAAAGGCAATCACCCAAAACCAACAGTGGCTACCTGTTCCGGACCCATTCCATGCTGTGGAAGCTTTGTACTTTCACTCAGATTAATAAAGCTTATGGTTTTTTTTCTTGCTCTCTGTCCATGTCTCTATCACCGGCCGTGGTCAGTCACCACACCAATTTTTTTTGCTGTGGCTAGGCAAGAATCTTAGGCGTTACAGATATACCACAGTGTGTTTATAAAAATTCACTTATTGAAATATATCTTGGTTGCTTTCAGTTTTTAGTGATCATGGGGAAAAAAAAGCTGCTGTATACATCCATATGCATATTTTTGTGCAGAAAAACACTTCCTTTTTTTTTTTTGAAATGGAGTCTTGCTCAGTCTCCCAGGCTGGAGTGCAGTGATGCCATCTCTGCACACTGCAACCTCCACCTCCTGGGTTCAAGTGATTCTCCTGCCTCAGCCTACCAAGTATCTGGGACTACAGGCACATGCCACTACACCTGGCTAATTTTTTTTGTATCTTTAGTAGAGACGGGGTTTCACCATGTTAGCCAGGATGATCTTGATCTCCTGATCTCGTGATCCACCTGCCTCGGCCTCCCAAAGTGCCCGGATTACAGGCTTGAGCCAGATTTAAATGTTCTTTGTATTTTTTAATTTTGCAAAAATATTTTTTTGTAATCTGTCATTTGTGTTTTGATTCTCTTAACAGTGTCTTCTGCAGAGCAGATGTTTTAAATCTAATACAAACTAAATTTTTATTTCAGTGATGATGTAACCAGCAGTGAATCCATACAGGTCTGCAGCAAACTTGAGTCCTTGCTTCTCAGAGGAAAGAATTCGGCCAAGGGGCAGAAATAGGTTTAAGGCAGAGGCAGAGACTGAGGCAAATTTTAGAGCAGGAGCAAAAGGAAGCAAAGTACATGTAACCACCCAATGGGTTCATGTGGCCCACTGCCTAGACAGAGCCAATTTATCAAGACAGAGGAATTGCAATGGAGAAAGAGTAATTCACATAGAGCTGGCTGTGTGGGAGACAAGAGTTTTATCATTACTCAAATCAGTCTCCCCAAAAACTCAGGGATTGGAGTTTTTAAGGAAAATTTAGCAGATATAGACTTGGGAAGTAGGGAGTGCTCATTGGTTGGGTTGAGAATGAAATCATAAGGTGTTAAAGTGAGTTCTTCTTGCTGACTTCTGTTCCTGGGTGGGACTGCAGAATTGGTTGAGCCAGATGATTGGTCTGGGTGGTGTCATCTGCTGCATCAGAATGCAGGGTCTTGCAAAATATCTCAAGTACTGATTTTAGGTTTTACAGCAGTGATGTTATTCCCAGGAGCAATTTGGAGAGGTTCAGACTTTTGCAGTCAGAGGCTGCAGGGTCCTCAAACCATAACCTCTAATCTTCTAGCTAATTTGTTAGTCCTATGAAGGCAGGCTCATCCCCTGGCAAGAACGGGTTTTATTTTCTTTCAAGAAAGGGCTACTATCAATTTTTTTTCAGAGATTAATCTATAAATTCCTTCCCAAGGGTAGTTCGACCTATGCCCAAGAATGAACCAAGACAACTTAGAGGTTAGAAGCAAGATGAGTTGGTTAGGTCTGATCTCTTTCACTGTCATAATTTCCTCAGCTATGATTTTTGCAGAGGCCATTTCACACATTTTGAAGAAGGGCCAAGCTGGTAACTGGAGAGATACAAGTGCCCCACCCAAGCCTTTGGCTTGGGATTTTTATAATTGGCTTGGTTCTGGGATTTGCGTTTCTACTCCCTTGAGGCAGGCTGTTGCTCACCTGACCCATGCCCAGTGTCAGTCAGCACTTGGGAGGGTGACTGCATGCATATTGCATTTACTGAGGTTATGCACGGTGTTCTCTAGCGTTGATTTTCCTGTACCAGTCCATGCCTCCAGAGGAAGGTAATACATTTTTCATTTTACCTCTCAGTACACATGCTCGAGCCTGCTCGCCCAGCTCCTGAGATCTTACTGGGAAACTGCAGATCACCAACTCCAGGTATTTTCTCTCTCTTGGAATACTGTCTTCCCCGGGTGCCAGCTGCAACAAATTATCATTTCAGAGAGACAGTTTAGCAACTGCCTGACCATCACCTGATGATCACATGACATTCCTTGGGGTGGTGTGCTGTGGTGCTCTCCTTCCTGCTTATGTCTGCAACCACATACTCTAACAATGAAACTTTCAGTATTGCATCTTCCGTGTATTTCCCAAAATGCTGTCTATACCCCTATGATAAGACATGTTCACTACACCCTTTTTTTTAATTACAAGCTGTTTTTATGTCTTCATTAACCTATACATTCATAATCCCTTTGCTAATACTAAAACAGATTTGATGTATATGTCTAATTAGCATGTTTAAATATAGAGCATTTATAAAACTGCCATGACAAGCCTATCTCTGCTTTTTTTTTCTTTTAAGCTTCTTTTGGTTAAAAGATTTTGTTAAATCCCTCATCTCTCTTATCTATGGAATGAAAGTATTTCCATTTCTTGTGGCTTAAGACCTATTATAGACCACTTTAAAAATAGGACAACGGGTATTCAGAGATACTTTTCTGATTACTCCCCTATTTGCCACACAGAATTATGTAACTAATATTACAAGAAATTCTGGCCATCAAATAACTAGAAATATTTAGGGGTATCATTAGGAGTGGGTCAGGACATGGAATTTGTTGTAAGGTCTTATATATCAAATTTTAAAAACGCCAAATGAAATGGCTATTTATTAGTGCTGAGAGGTACTATTAAAAGGTACAGGGAAGTAGAACAAAATAGTCATAAAGCACCATCTCAAATAAAATAGTTCCTATGCAGGAGAATGGCGTAAACCCGGGAGGCGGAGCTTGCAGTGAGCTGAGATCCGGCCACTGCACTCCAGCCTGGGCGACAGAGCGAGACTCCGTCTCAAAAAAAAAAAAAAAAAAAAAGAAAATATTAATAAGCAAAAGAAGGGCTAGAGATTTGTAAAATATAGATTTTATTATTTTTTAACACAAAGTATTAAATGCATTTATTTAAAAGAACAAATACTATTTAAAGGTATTTTAGAAATACTCAACATGAATATATGAATTTTAAATCATGTTAATAATTATTAAATTATAGAAATATGTGTCTGAAAGTTTTCTGAGATATTAAAGCCCCTATGGTATAACTGGTCTTGGTATTATTGCTTTATTCTATTCTGGGAATTCTGTGTTTGATGGGAATGTGGATTCAATTGAACCAAATGTGTACTATATATGTAAGCATTTATGACTATTGATTTTATTTTGGAAAACTTTCTAGTTGATACTAAGTGAGTGAGAAATTTCCCTATAATGCCATATAAAAATCCCCTACAAATCTACCTCCCATGCTAAACTGGAGCTAACATATAATGTTGGACTTGCAGAGGAATGATTCTTAGAGTTTAGGTTTGGAATCATTTTTATTGCAAAAGGATAATATTGAATCAGCACAAGCTGTTCTTGTTAAATACTTTCATAGAATTCCCACAAATATTTCTTAGTTTTTGAAGACATTTCATGCATATGGAATTTATTGCACTGTGTGAAGGCATTCTCATTGGAACATTTACATAAATCAATATATAAGGAGAGATTCACAGTTACAGAGTATAAATAATCAAGCTCCTTGAGTCTCACAGTTGTATTAAATACAACAATAATTTAAAATAAAATCAAGAACTGAAAAAAATTATTATCTTAAAAATTTTGGTTTGAGCATATCAGTAAAAATTGCTGCAGTTTCTATTGATAGTGATTTAATATTAAACCCAAAGTACCAGACAAAAAGACAAGGGTCTGAAATCTCTAGTCTACAAAACTACACAAATTTCATGTACTTGCTATTTGGTTTTAGATGCACAATCAAATATCATTGCCAAAAATCGAGAAAGAAGGAAGAGATCTGGAAATCAAACTAAATTTTCAGCATGACCTGGGAGAAATTACCAGCATTAGAATTCATAATATTTGGTTCCCCATTCCAACATTAACTTGTTGTGGGACCTTGGGCATTAAATTGAATCTGTGACTCCATCTGTCAACTCTAGTTTAAACTATCTGTATCACATGGATGGTATGAAAATAAAATAAGAAAACTACAGGTGAACATATTTTGAAAATGTTAGTAGATTATTGTCTTAGTCTATTCCTGCTGCTATAACAAAATACTTAGACTGGGTTAGTTGTAAGCAACAGAAATTTATTTCTCACAGTTTTGGAGGCTGGGAAATTCAAGACCAAGGTGCCAGCAGATTCAGTGTCTAGTGCGGGTGTGCTCTCTGCTTCCAAAATAGTGCCTTCCTGTTGTGCCTTCACGGGATGGAAGAGGGTAGAAGAAGCAAACAGTTCCCTTGTATTCCTTTTATAAGGGCACTAATCCCATTCATGAGTGTTTTCCCCTCATGATTTCACCTCCTAAAGGTCCTTCCTCTTAACACTAACGCATTGGTAGTTAAGTTACATTTTGGGGGCATGCCAACATTTGGCCCATAGCAACTACCCAATCATAAACCAGTAGCGATAAAGGTATTGACCCTGCCTGGTCTGGCCTTTATTCACCCTTATAAATCCTATTTCATACCACATTGCTCCTTGACCTCTGGTTTTAGACACACATGCCTTCACTCTGCTTCTCAAATCACATGTCCTCCTGCCAATGACTTTTGCACATATTTTGATCATCATATGACAGATGATCATTTGATCATATTTTGCTCATATTTCTATACCTGAAACATACTTTATTTCTGAGTCTTACCATCATGATCCAAACCCTAGCTCTCAATAGTCTTAATTTAGCTCTATTCTTCCTTCAGATATGAGCTCAGATTGTACTTTGAAGGGATACTTTCCCTGATCTACCACTGTCCACGGTTAGATCAAGCTCTATCACTTACCCTAATGACACCAATTCCTTTCCTTCAAACACTTGTCACAGTCTTAATATTTTATTATTTTATGATTATCTTATTTATTCTGTCTGCCCTCGTTGTTATTTTGAAAATCCATGTGGTCAAGGTTCATGTCACTTTTTTGTTCAACATTGCATTACAAGTCCTTAATATGGCAACTCATACCTATTAAACC